CTCTGTCCCTGTTCCTAATGAAGGCCATGAGATTGTACACTGTGTTTGTCACTCAGTCCTTTCCTAATAACTTTTGGAAACATTCTCTACTTAGAAGTAAACTGGAGAGTGAAGTGGGGACTGACAGGTACTAGGTTGCTGCATTTACTGTGAAAGTTGGTGTTTGGGGAGAGGTGAGGCCTGTGAAAGCACCCATAGAGCAGTCAGCACAAGTCTATCTTACTAGACAAAAGCAAACATCATCCCTCTGCACCACGTTCACAAGAAAGCAGGTTTTGCCAGTTCCAGTGCTCACAAGGCTGCTAGTTTGTTTTGCAGCAGATGATAATGCCCCTTGCTGTGCTTCCCGACTTCTGTGCTAAGAGAATACAGTTATTCCCCTGTTCTCTCCATCTGCAGTGCTGGCTGGAGCACAGCTGGAGTCTCAGCACAAGTCCTAGCAGTCTCCGCAGACACCACATCCAACTCAGCACCCTAATTCAGCAGAAATTTCCACTACATGAATCCACAAATCCAGTACTGCCAAAGTTTGGGAGGTAGTTCTGTGATAAAAGATAGAGCGTATCTATCTCTATAAATCCATATATTTGACAATCCCGTAAATCTCTATTTCTCACCTAAATCAAAAATATGCTTTCATAAGTTCACAAAAAAAGGCACATTTATTTTCCTAGGTTGATCTCCCTGTTTAATACTAGATTTCCGTTAAATCCAGCTAAGGTGTCAGAGCCAGTTAAAAACTAAATTGCAAGAAAAAACAAAAAATGGCCTTCACTAGGAGAAGAAAAATATTCCTCCTCTTATCAGTACTTAACAATAGCTCTGCCACTTTTATTGAAAGCTGCAGATAATTTGTTCCTTGCTTGGGAATAAATGTGCTGAGTTCCAGTCTTCATAAGGGGGCCTGAAACGTAGCACAAACCCCACAAATGGCTCTTGTGCCCCAGAGCATCTATGTGTCGCACAGCAGGGCTGCTGAGCTCTGTCTGCCCGATCGTACCTCTGCAGAAGTGCTTTGCTGTGGGCTCTGTTCCAGCTGCTGTATCTGCAGAGGCAGCTCTCTAGCTACATGAAATTTATCTGCAATTAGTAAACTCTGCATGGGCATGAAGATCTATTTTGTACACAGCGGGGTGTTGGACGGAAGCCCAAGGTGCATAGATTTTTCTTCAATATGAGGAGCTGGATTTTGTTTGGGACACTGAAGATTACTTATGGAGAAGGTGAAAGCATGGCAAGAGGGACAGAACTTGGATGAGATCTGGAAAAGGACATAGCTCCTCAAGGTGGTTGGTTAGTGCCCCCTGTATGGGAAGAGGTCCTTTGGAGAGGTTGTTTATATTTGCTCTATCTCCAGTGTGCAAGATAAATAAACATACATATAAGATACACAGATAATAAATATGTGTTGCTTTGATTCTCTGAAAGCTAAGCAAGCTGCCCTATAGCAGGATCTGGGTAAGGTTGCTAGGTAAATTGTAGCCCTTACTTGTACAGTAGTGATGATACCGGTCCCAGGCAACCGCAGCACTGGAGCTAATGCTGGCTAGTGCTGTCAAGAAGCCCTGGAATCCATGGATTTGACAGCCATCAGAGCCATAGGGCCAGTATCTGTCAACAAACAAGGAATATGTTAAGAAAATGATAGAAAAAGGTAAAGACATGTTTGTAAATTGCATTAACAGAGAGGGTAAAATGATAGCTTGTGCATGTGCTAAGTCTGAGAAATATTGTGAAAGCTGTTACTGTGGTTGCCTTTAGGTATTTGCCAACATTTATCTTGCAGTGGTGTCTGATATAGTACAACAGCTATTTTTACTTTTAATATGAAGAAGAAAATATAACCCTGCATTTATGTATCGGAAAGTTGTTTTTTTAATTTGAACTCTACATTACATCCAATAATCTGTATCTTCAAAATTTGCACCCACTGGGAGCAACCAATTTGTCAACATGTGAAAGTAGCAAATGAGTAATAACCTTTTGGAAAGTCAGTGTTCACAGGCAACACAGTACAAAAGCTCACAACAGATAAAAATACTCCTGATAGCAAGACTGAGGCCTCCAAATGTCTTTGCAGACATAGAATGAAAAGAACCATGAGGTGGTCTCATGTAGCAGACATCTGCTGACATGTGCCTTCAATATCCTGGTCACCCATGGCAAGGAGCTATGGCTTTTTTTTCTTTCTGTGTTCATCTAACCTGACTCTTACGCTCCTAAAGCTGGCTGTGAGGTGGAAATCTTCAGCAATCTCCTTTCTCATCTATTTACAGAACACCAGAATAACTCATTAGGAGACTACCCCTGGAAGTCCCTTCGAACAGGAGATAGCTGACTTCTTGGGAGGCTGGCAAACTTCTGCTCCCATTTAAAAGAAAAGGTCTTGCAGTTGTTAAAACCAAGCTCATTTTGATGTATTGACCTTAGCTTCTCAGCTTCCTTTCAGTAAAGGCATCTTTATTGAATTCAGTGAGACGTGTCTGAAACAAGAGTGACCTATACAGAAGGTAAAATAGTGTTGAATAAGGCCTCATTGGAGCTTATTATTGATGTGTTGATTTGAAAAAATGTTTTTATATCCATTAAGAGAGAATAAAATGGTCACATTCTGGCTGTTTGCTATTAAAGGTATTTCCAGGGTTTAAAAATATGCTACTTAGGTGGAATTATTCATCAGCTATTTTACAGGGTGGTGGTTTTTTTTTTGAGTATGGTTTGCTTGTGATTTGCTTGTTGTAGTTATTCACTGAAATGCTTGATATTGTTTCTCTCCTCTGATTAAATGATGGACATGTGTGAAAATGCAGAAAATCAAATGTGTCATAACTGATGTGACTTCCCTGCTAACAGATCTCCTTCTCATTTTCCACAAACTTCACAAATAAGTGCTTTAATGGAAAGGTTCATTAAAAACCAGAAAGACTTGCAGATAAATTTGGGGTCAGTCTAGAGGTTTAGTCAAATGAAGATGTACTACTGTTTTGACATTCAAGCAGCTTCTACTATAACCACTCGTAAAGCTGTGTGGTTAAATGTCTTCTATAAGCGGTTTTATAATCTGTCTGTGATTATACGCAGTAAAGTCTGCTTTTTTACTTGCCTGGTAGAAATATATAGAGTTTCATTTTGCTGTTTCAGATTGAGAGAATGAGAAGGTTGGTTAAGTGGTACGCTAGAAAGAGAGTCATTTAATTAATTTGACATCTTAGAACTTAAGCTGTTAATTTTCATATGGTTCTTCTGAGCATCCTTTAGGAAAAAGAAGATATACCTTAGGAAGCTGGAAAAGGCAGCAATGAATGCGTTGATGCAGATCCCACAGTCGGCCAGCGCGATGCTGAGAACAAGCAGGTTGCTGGGTGTTCGGAGTTCTTTGATTTTTCGGAAAGACATAATTGTCAAGCCATTCAGACAGAAACCAAGCAGGGCTGAAATACAGAATTGTTTGGCGTGAGTCAACTGGAAATGGAAAATTTCTACAATGGTACTGCTATTTTCTTTAATGAGAGAACAATAATTACTGTGGACACGTATGCACAGGGAATATATCTGTAGTGGTCATAGTCTGCAGACAGTTACAAAGACTTTCAGGAGAAAAGTCATAGGTGACAGCTGAAGCCAATGCTTCAAACTGCAGCAGGGATATGGCCGCTCATGCGGAGCAGAAATGGTTTAATCTTATTTGTAATTCCGCCTTTTGTTTTAATAGAGAAACCTGATTGCTAGGCTCCATCCAGGGACACGTGGATCAGAGCGAGGGAGATGCAGAGCAGGCAGTTTCAGAGGGGCTGACAGCCAGCACATGCTGCCGGTGCACACATCTCCAGGCCTGTCTTTAGCAGAGAAACGGGTTGTGTTTAATATCACTGGTAACATTCTTCTGTGTTTAAGCATAGAAATCCCTCAGCCATGTTTCAGTCAGCCTGCCTCCCTTTGGGCTTCTGTCTGAGGTTAACCTAGACAGTGCTTGAATCACACGAGCTCAATCTTATTACTGCCCTTCGTCAATAGACTATACATGGAAAGGAATAATCTAATTATAAAAAGCAGTCACTGATAGATTTAAAAAAGATAAGTTAATGTTGGTCCTCAGAGAGGAGCATCCAGGCAACCCCAGCTATTCACCTGCCACAGAGCTGTGCCACCCTGAAACCCATTCTTTACTGGTTTAAACTCAAGCTTTGTCCTTTAATGTCCTTTTCAAGATGACCTGAATTATTTTAGCTCTGATGAGACTCTGACTCAACATCCCATCTCTAAGTCTTAGTTAGATGAGAGGCAGTATGTGTTTTTCTTTGTGTTCTTCTTGGAAAGAGAAATGATGTAGCACAGAAAAAAATCCATATCCCCTAATTCTGTAAAGTAGTGTGGTTACTTATGCTCATTGTCTTAATTCTGCAGTTACATAAGATGGATGATTTTGTCTAGTCAGAAATCCTGCTCATACCTTAATTGCATTAATGGCTGATGGCATAACCATAGCAACAGCTGATGTGCATCTTTCATTGCACATCATATAACAAAGTATTTCCAGGACAAATATTTGGAGCCATTTGAGATCTGCTGTTCTTATTTCCTCCCTGCCAGCTTACCTCCCACCCACAGGGTAAAACTGCTGCCAACTCTCCCAAATGCAGTTGAGCCTTTAGGAGAGGTATGTTGTAACGATATTTAGAGTAGAGCGGAAGAGTTATTACTATATCAACTTTTTTCTGTCTTTCCTCTGTTTTTGGAAGCTCCAGGCTTCACCCCACTGTGCTTTCTTGAAGGCCAGCATGAGTGTACGAATAGAGAACTTACTAAATTTAAAAAAATAGCTTTGAGTTTTCATTTTTAGAACAGCAAATATGTCCAGTTAATAAAGTGAATGCAAGGTTTTCCTCTTCCCCAGCACTTCTTTGCAAACTGCACTTAGAAGCTGCACCAAAAAAAGGTGGTCTTCATTGCCTTTCTCTCAGAGTCTCTGAGAAAGTGAATTAATCTTTAATTATTTAGTTTGATCTTCTAAGTCAGATGACAAAGATAAAGTATTATTGCCAATCCGCTGGGCGCATTCTGCCTAAAGCCCTATAGAAAATACTTGCGTTTAGTAAAATACAAATGTGTTAGACCACATCTAGTTCTAAGTGAAGGTTTCCAGCAGGTACTTTGCTTGGACTCCAACAACTGCAGGTCCCTGGCAGGCTGCAGCCCCCAGGCTCAGGGGTTGGGCAGGCAGGTGAGGGCCGGCAGGGCCGTGGTACCACAACCAGCCGTTCCCCCGCAGGGCCCCGGCTGCCGGGCTCTGCCAGCACCCAACGGCGTCCCTGTCCTCCTCTCGCTTCTCACCCCTCAGTAACAAAGCGCAAAGTCATGCCAGGCCCTGCCAGGCCCTGCAGCTGGCTTAATGGCTGTTGGCCAGGTTTAGCCCTGAACTCTCCGGTTAGGCAGCAGCTTGCCCCTGGGCCGCTAGTAGAAGCTTTTTCTTTTCTCTGTCTTCCAAGGAAGAGTTTCTGACACAGCTCCTCCAGCTTTCCTTTGCAGGCAGGTACGATGCTGTCTTCTGGCAGAGCTGGCCTGCAAGGAGAGAGCAAGCATCCTCCTTTCTCCCATGCTCCACATTCATGAGCATTTATCCCATTCTGATGGTGCTTATAGCTTCTCCTTCTCTGCTATTGGGCCCCACAATCCCTGCATCCCCAGTTGAGCAGCACTATGCAGGGATGGGGTCCCAGGCCCTGACTGGGATGTAGCTCAGAACAGACGCCAGTGACTGACACTGAAATAATCCTAGATACAAACCTGTCCTAACCTGTCCTTCACTAGCTGCCAGGTAGGAACAAATTCAGAGTTTTGTTGCAGTCTCTCAACAAAGTGGCACATGCCTTAAGACAAGCCCACATTGGCTAAATTAAATGAATACAGTTTCCTACCTCAAATTTTGTTTCTGAACACTGTGACAGCTTTTGAATCTCATGCAAATTTATTTCTGTTTGTTACTTTTACCCAGCAGCCATTAACTGCAGCGCTACCAATGCAATCTGGATGTATGCTAACAGTTAAGAGGCTATTTTGGACCTATCATCTTTGATTATCAGATGGCCATCACAGCCCACAAAACAAGCAGCTCAATTTTATTGAGAGATCATCGGTCATTTCAACATCCTTCCCCCATGGAAGATAAAATTGCCTTTAAAACTCAACAACAAAATCTTAAATCCCGAATTCTTCATAAGAAAGCTAAGCAGCAACTACTTCCCTGCCATAAGGCAGCTATGTATACAGAGCAGATCTTCACTGCAAACAGCTTGCAGCTCACCCTGATTTACTCACCAGAAGTACTAGTGATGTAGCCACAGTAACCACGGTAGGTCTGGGTCAGCGTACCACAAATGCTGCTGTTTGCTTCAATTTTTCTTCCCCCTCCCACCAGGAATAATAGGGGCAAAAATCTTATTGCTGCTGATGTCCCGCACTGAGCTTACCTTCTACCAGCAGGGCAGTGCCGATGGCAAACACCTCTAATTCAGTGAAGCCTTCAGGGAGAGGGTATGCAGTGACCATAGTTGCGATAAAAATGCCAACAGATTTAACCTCTGCCCTCTGTTATAGCTGTAGGGCTGCTTTTTCTCTGGATCCCCCTTCTTCCACTAGCCCAAGGCTTCTTAAAGGAGAAGCTCACGTGCAGACACATGCTCATTATTATATAAAAGCTTTGGGGTTTTTACTCCCACCACTACAATCCCCACAAGAATGTCATTAATGATGGGACTAGCATCAACCCGCACTCCCCCTTCCCCTGCAAATCGTATTTCAGACAGCAGCAAAATGAAAGCATTCATTGCAATTACAACAAGTTCTTTGTAGAGACAAGATTAAGAACCCTGTCCAGTTAATTCTGCAACACTGGAAAAGAATTAAAGGTTGTGGAACGAAGGAAACATGTAATATATAATTGGGGAGTGACCTGAAAAACAAAGGGGCACTCATTGAGTTGGTAATTAGGGGAAAAGTATGAACCAAGAATTTCTGCAGCATATAGGTCCTCCCCTCACCCCTTTTTTAGAAACTGGCCAGTGTATTTATCTGGCAATGACTATTCTGTATATTAAAATACCTCCTCTTCATAACTGAGGCTTAAATTAAGGTGCACGCTGGCACAGCCTGATTAAAGGCAAACACTTCCAAATTACTCATTTTGGGCCCCAGACATACAAGGATGTATGTGAGTTGAAGGACATACGTGAGTTGCTCAGTGGTGGGCACTCACAGGAATGACCTTACTGTCCTTTTGGAGGTGTTTGAGGACTGGGGTCCTGGTGTAGTGTGGCTCTGGAGAATGCGTAGCTTGTCCAGCCCCCAGATCCTTACCTTCCTGCCAACTTCCCCCCATGAGCAAACCACATGATGGATCCGAGGTGTGCATAAGGCCTTGTCATTTCCCAGCAGGGTCAACCGTTTTCCTTTCATTTCTTGTACTACTGATTGATTAACTAACTCTTGGGGAATTTGAATGCCTGAATCCTGCAGAATGGAAGACAGCAGCTTTCAGAGTCCAAGTGAAACAGATGGTACTTTTTTAGTTATACAACTATTATTTATGTCATTTTTAATGCCTGCCCATTAACAGTGAGCAACTTGGCCATACTTCTCAATTTTTAACCTACATTTAGAGTAGCAATAGCTATTATATCTACTAGATAGGGCTGTTTCCTTTTAATGGTACTTCATTTCACCCTTTTTAGTGCATTTGTTTCCTCTTTCTTCACTTCTCATTCGTTACTACTTTTCTACAGACCTACTCATTGCCCTAACAACAAGGTGCCACTAGCACGATAGTTGCTATTTTGACACATAACTTTCTTTATCCTCATAATCCTACTGTGAAATGGGAGCAAAAAGGGAGCTGAAGCACCAGGGATATTGGCTTCCCCCAGCGGAGGCCCCACACTGTGCTGACCTGGCTCTTAGTTGATGAAGATGTCAGACAGAGTGAGTTTGCTCCAGATGTGGCCAGAGCTTGTTCATGGTTCTCCTGACTACACAGTGGAGGTGCATTCACAGTCAGGGGTCTTGGTTGAAAACAGTGGTGGATTTTTTTTGCAGTTTTCCTGAAATCCGTGCTTACAGGCTGTGATGCCCAGGAGAACTGGTCGAAGCTTCAAGGCTGTTGTGAAACTGTCTTGCTGTGTTTTGTGATTTCTGGCATTCAATTTACAGCTGTTTTTGATGTAGGTAATTGCCTTGATGTATATGCTCTTGGATTTTGAAGTAGGATTCAGGAGGGCATGATATTTGTTAGGCTATACAGATGTTTGGTTTAAGCAGAGCAAAATTACATTGCACCACATAAATCCATCGTTATGTTTGTCTTTCACTTACCTACATGTCTTGATGACAAAGAAGGTGACAGCCCTGCCTCCTAGCCGGGCAAATGACTGATCTAAGCCTGTGTTTTAATAGTGATCCATTGTGTGTTCTTGCAAAAAATTAGTGCTAGATCTTGTAAATGTGCTGTAAATCTTTTTAGTGTGATTGTTTTGAAAATAGATGGCTCATTGTAATGCTTGTCAACATAAAGCTGCACAGCTCTTCTAGACTAGGGATAAAGGACATAGATATTGTGTGAACTGCCGTCCTGAGGGGTGTCAGGTGCTTTTGGTTGCTTGCCACTGTACTTCACCTTCACTCCCAAGCAAACCTTCCAAATGTGTTACACTGCTGGTATTTTTTGTGGTGTGTATTAAAGTCTGTGGCACAGACTTTGTTCATTCCAAAACTATTTTTTCTGTGAAAGTAGGCTACTACCCCAACCCCCTTGGATTTAGCAGATCTTTATTAGAATGAATATTGTGAACTTGTTGGCTGCTTTTCTTCAAGTGTCTTAAAAAATTTCCATGTCTAAACCTTATTTACTTTATCAACGCTGAGTCTAATAACACAAGTCAGTCACAGGCAAGCTTTTCAGTGGTGGTTCAGTGTCTGACTCAAGTGCAATTGGTATCAATAGAAACTTTACGCTTCAGGCTCTCAATATCTATTTTTGATGCTGTGGTAAGCTGACTTTCTAATAGTTCATCGGGATAGTATGGGATGATGTATGGTCCAATATGGCTGCTAAATTCAGTTAGTTATAAAGGGTTTTCTTCAAGCCAAGATGAAGTGTAAAAGGGGAATAAATTATTGAGTTTGACAGACTCTACTAATTATAGTTCTTTTTTCCAGTTGGTAAAACAAAGCTGCATTCGTTTCCTTTCCCTCCTTTTTATGTAAGACATAACCTTGCATCATGTATCCCTGTGAAGTCAGTGAAAACATGCAAAGGATAACAAGTTCACCAAAGACTCTTTAACTCTTTAAATTATGAAGATTTTTGTGATCCCTTTCTGCTTTATGCACTCTTTCGATAGCTACTTGCTGTTTCCAAATTCAGGGGAAAAGGTCTTTCACTCAACCTGATGTTGTCTTGCAAATTCATATTTTGAATTCCCACTGATCTGCTCTCTGCATCAATTAAACATCCATTTCATTTTACCCTCTTGCTTAAGAACACTTCACTGATTACTAATCTGTTTGCAAGGAACACGCAGAAAAAAGATCTGATAGGTTCTTGCCAGATGTCCCCATGGGTTTCATAAGACTGTATGGATTTGGTGGGAGCATATTAATCTTTGTAAAATATGCATTCATACAAGCACAACAAAAAAAGGTGCAGTGCAAAGATAACAGAGCACTCATGCACTCTGAATTTTCTCCAAGCAATCAATGAAGATTACTGACATACTTTTTTATATTGACAGCAAGAACTTTGCTAAATTGATGTATTATTATTCCTCTGCCTTCCTAATCCTTTCTTCTCATTCAGGTTTAGCCAAATCATCTTTGACATTTTATATTCAAAAACACCTTTAAATGACAAACTTCAGCATATCAGCAGGAGTGGGCTAGGAATACAGCCACGCAGCACTTCAGTTTCATATCACAGAGATGAGTGGTAATCTTGGTCCCCATGGGAAATGCTTCTCATCAAGGAAAGGAAACCAGAAAGCATATTGTCTGGAGACCTTTTAGTTGCAATTGTGTAAATTTGTTTTGATTTGGAAGCAGTGGTTGGGAATACACCCCAGACCCTAAATAGGCACCCAGCATTGGCCACGGGAGGGACAATGCAGGGGACAAGCCTGCAGAGCAGCATGTGGGCAGGCATCAACCCTTTGGACAAGCCTGCAGCCGTGTAGTAACTGTTCTTCTCAACAGTCTGGCAGCATAACACACTCCTCAATCGGATGTTCTCTGCAGCTGCCTCCAGAGCTCTTTGGAGGAAAAAGTAGTGGTGAAGGCCTGGGGATGGCCAAGGAGGTTTGGGGGAAGCAGAAGCCATGCTTTTGGGGGCTGAGCATGGCAGCCCTGGGGCCAGTGGGGAGGACGTGAGGGTCTCCAGAGCGGGGCTAGTGATCTCTGCGGACAGCATGGGGGCCAGGGGTGGGAGGTGCTGCCTGTGCAGAGGAAGGTAGAGGAAAGGGCTTGCTTGCAAGTGCAGAGAGCCAAGATCAGGGATAATATCCAGGGAAAGCTCCTTGGCCATGCTGAGCCAAAGTGATGGAGCTGTAAATTCAGTGGGAAGTAAGAAAGCAGGAGGGCATCTTCAGAGTCAGAGCCAGAGCAGAGGTGTGTGAAAATCCCTTCAAAAAAGGACGCAGCTCCCTCATCTCCTGCCCAAATGCCATGCGTTAACCCTGTGCTTGTCTACACAAGGATGCAGTGCTAGCTGGGTCCAGACAGTCATTCACAGCCATGCTGTGGCCTGGTCTCTGCACTTGAGCGGCTGCCCGGGACCAGGCCGCGCTGGGGCTGGCTTTCCTACACACTGCTGCACTTTAAGCATTAGGGAGATGAAACTTGCTGTAGTTTGAGAAGCATCGCCTTTCCCTGCTACTATTTGAATTGCCCCTCTAGAGACAGGTAGCTTAATTCATAGTAAATTGAATACATATTTGATAAATATACGTATATCCACTCAGGCTAGAAAATTAACAAAGTTGCTAGAACACTAATTGCATCCTAGACTTCTTAGTCTTTGCTGGATACACCAGTCATGATTGTTATCAAATATGTATAATCGGTGCCTTGATCTGTTACCTGTCCCTCAAAATGGATTTTAGACACCTATAAATAATATGTTTTGCTTTCAGTTAGCCTTCTAATTTTAGGGTCATATACATATTCACAATATAATGAAATATGCTATCTCTCTGTGCTGAATAGCAGCATATTTCAGGACTTCGGAGGAGAAGGCAGTCCTACTGAATATAGGATATACCTGACACTGTTTGTTTAGTTTGCCCTGTGGGGTTCAGGCCTTCCCACAGCAGGCAGAATAACAACTCTTTCAGGAATTACAGTTCAAAGACCAGTACCCACTTCTCAAAGGAAACTCCACTTTCAAGAGGGGCTTTAGTTGTATTAAGAGAGGATTTGCACAGCAGCTCTCATTTGTTTACTATTGCTCTTGTAAAGAAGCAAACGGGACTCCCTCTGAACCATTCCTCAATGAGTCTATGCTACTGACCACGTACATAAATGAACTTCTTAGGCCATATATGACAAAGGCACCTCATTTTTCCTGTCACTGTGATATTGTATATCTTGCTTGTCTTAGT